AGATAGACTGAGCGTTATCCGTGTAATCTCTTCTTTTCTTCTTTTCTTATACATCATGCTAATAACCAGCTGACAAACAGTGTAACAGAATACAAAAATTTAAATGTTTGTATTGCTACCAGTAATTGCTGCATATACTGTAGCAATGTTTTTTTTTCCTTAGGTGATATCAACCTCACACAAAATGAGAGTTTCACTGTATGTTGGGCAACCATCCATTTAATAAAGAGCCAGATCCTGAGTGTACTTGAAAAATTGAAATATGTGTTGGCTACTAGGATAAACCTCCTTAAAAACCTCATTTTATTATTCAATTCCATCTGTCACTGTCAAAAACTGAGTTCCAAATAGGTTATTAAGACCCTGTTTAAACTATTTTTTTCCATTTGACATAATTTTGTTGTCACTTTTAAGACTTGTGGGCTATGTCTAGATTAGTAAATCAAACTCAACTATTCTCTGAATGTGATTCCCTCTGTCATAGAGTGATCCGCAGCCATTACACTTCCTCAAGGTCAAAATGGGCCGGCTGCATCCTGGCTGTCTACTGGGAGTGGTCCTTGGCCCTTGCTAACTCCTGAACTGAGCCAATGAGTTGTTTGAGACATTGATACTTCGTAAAGGTAAAATTGTCAGAGGCTATTTAAAAAAAAGTTGCAGGATATGTATGTCTGAATTCCAGCCCAGTAACATTCCCAGGCACCAGTTAATTTACTAGTGTACATAAAACCGTTGTGTTATGATATGTTCCTCAGAAAGATTACCTGTTACAGGACACCTGTATTTCAGTTCATTCCTTCCCCAAAAAGAGCATTTGCATTGTTCAAAACACTTACACAATCTCAACTCTCGATTCTCAGCTATTCTTTCTTAATGAAAAACAGTTTGCTCATATTTTTTCACGCATACGTACTAAGCAGAGAAACTCTTCCTCAGAATAGTGGCAGTCTAATATCTGAAGAGTAGCGACCAATAACAATGGAGAGTCTCATCTTTAATTTCAAGCAACTTATACATCAAAACTGGAAGCCTGGATAGAATGGTGGGACTCCATTAAGATTCCAATCCTCTAAAAGCATATTTGGCAGTCTTACCTCATTCTGCTGATCCATGTCTTGTTCCAAGCTTCATGAAACATTTGATTTGAATTTACATTCCATAACAAATAACTCTGCAAAGAACACTTACTT